GTGTATGTGGCTGGTGCCTTAGCCACTTGAGCCACAGGCGCCGAGCCTATTTTTTTTTATTGTTGGAGAATCATTGAGGGTACAATGAGCCAGGTTACACTGCTGGCGTTTGCTGGGTGAAATCCCTCTATTAATAGTGTCCCACCCGCAAGAGGTGTGTCACACACTGTGGCCCCAAACCCTCCTCCCTCCTTCTCCATTTTCCCTCCCCCCACCATGTACTAGCATCAATTGTCTTCATATCAAAATTGAGTACATTGGATTCTTGCTTCTGCATTCTTGTTATGCTTTTTTTAGACAGGGTCTCACTCTGTCACCTGAGGGAGTGCAATGGTGCCATTATAGCTCACTGCAACCTCTAACTCCTGTGCTCAAGCAATCCTCCTGCTTTAGCCTCCCCAAATCACAATATTCTTAGAGGAAACACAATAACTACTTCATGTGCTGTTCTGGTATCATTATTAACAATATTTAGTCAAATGGAACTATATAACACAACCAGTGACACAGATTCTTTGAGGAACTAAGATAGTACAGTTGAAATGTAGCCTTCAAGGATCCACTTTAACCAAGAATATCACTTAAGTTACCTTGAAAAAAGGGGAGACTACTGTAGTGGGTATTTATGGTAATATGAAAAACTCAAAAATTTTATTTACTTTTTTTTTTTTTTGAGACATAGTCTCACTCTATGGCCCTGGATAGAGTGCAGTGGCATCATTGTAGCTCACCATAACCTCAAATTCTTGGGCTCAGGTGTCCCCTTGCCTCAACCTCCCAAGCAGCTGAGACCACAGGTGCCCACCATAATACACAGCTAGTTTTTCTGTTTTTAATAGAGAGGAGGTCTCACTTTTGCTCAGCCTGATCTCGAACTGCTGAGCTCCAGGGATTTAGCCTCCCAGAGCGCTAGGATTACAGGTGTGAGCCATCACCCCCAGCCTTCAGCAAAGTTTTAAAATTTAATGATAGCAAGTGTTGGTCATATAGGGGGTCTGGAAGATACTATATTTACCCACTCTTCATGAATGCGTGAATTAACATACGCCCTCTTGAGGGCAATCTAGCAGTATCTATTAAAAGCGGGGGGGGGGGAAGGCTCAGCA